TATGCTGAGATTTCCTGCAATGATCAAGTCCAATGATCCCCCCGCCCCCCCCGAAACAGCCATTCACTGGGAATATGTGTTTCTCCTATACCAACCCTCTAAGATTCTTATGCAGCTGAGAACAGAGGATATGTGATCACTTGTAAAAAAAAGAGGGGAAAAGGGTATTTATAATGTTTTATATGTATAAGCAAATACTTTGCCTTTCTTTTCTATTTTAAACTGATTTGGTTGTTTTACAATGTTACATAATTACACAGTTTAGTCTGGCTGAAAAAAGACAAAAGTCCATCCAGTTCAACCATAAAAAAAAAAAAAGTTATAATCCTATACCCACATTTGTTCCAGAGGAAGGCAACAAAAAAAAACCCCCAGCAAAGCATGATCAAATTTGCTCCTGCAAATGGGGAAAAATTCCTTCCTAACCCCCCCAGGAGGCAATCGGATATCCCCTGGATCAACTTTACCTATAAATGTTAGTATCCAGTTATATTCTGTGTGTCCAAGAAATAATCCAGGCCTTTTTTAAAGCAATCCACTGAGCTGGCCAGAACCAACTCTTGAGGGAGTCTATTCCACATTTTCACTGCTCTCACTGTGAAGAAACCTTTCCATGTTTGGAGATTACATTTCTTTTCCTACAGACATACTGTAAAGAGTTCCCCCTTGTCCTCTGTGATGGCCTCACAGAGGTCTACAACGAGTTCACTTTATGAACCACTAATGTATTTATACATGTTGATCATATTTCCCTTAATCTACTCTTCTCAAGAGAGAATAAATTCAGTTGATCTAATCTTTCCTCATAGCTGAGCTCCTCCATGCCTCTTATCAGTTTGGTTGCCCTTCTCTCTACTTTCTCCAGTTCCCCAATGTTCTTTTTGTGAATTGGTGCCTATTCCAGATGAGGTCTCACTAATGATTTGTACAGGGGTAAAATTATATCTCTCTCTCTGGAGTCTATACCTCTTTTAATACAAGAGAGGATTTTGCTCGCTTTAGAAACTGCAGCTTGGCATTGCATGCCATTATTAGGCTTGTGATCTACCAGAACTCCCAGATCCTTCTCCACCATTGATTCCCCCAGTTCTACCCCCCTAGTATATATGATGCATGCATATTCTTAGCCCCCAAGTGCATAACCTTACATTTATCAACATTAAACCTTTCACTTTTTATGTGGCCTTTATTTCATTTTTGCATATTCTGTTATAATCTTTGTAATGTTTGAACGATGATAGTGTTTCTTCATTTTTATATTTAATAAAAGCTCTTTTCTTATTATCTATAGCTTTTTTAACTTTGGCCGTAAGCCACATAGGTTTGATTTTTGGCCTTTTAAACTTGTTGCCCATGGGAATATATTTTCCACATTCATACAGTATGTGTTCACATACAGTCTTTTTGAAGAACTCTTATTTCTGTGTTGTGTTCAGTTTTGGAGAGCACCTCTCAGCCTTGGAAAATTAGCTCTTTTAACATTGAGCATTTTTATTTTTCTCGTATATGCTTGCTGTTTACAGCTAACAATAAATGAAATCATGTTATGGTCACTGCTACTCAGATGTTCTTTTATATGGACCTTGGTAATAGGCTCTGCATGGTTTGAGACTACCAGGTCCAGCAGAGCATCATTCCTAGTTGGGGCCTTTATGAACTGTACCATAAAATTGTCTTGTAGTAGGTTTATACATTTTTGCCCTTTAACTGTACCTGCAGTACCATTACTCCAGTCAATTTCCAGGTAGTTAAAATCCCCCATTATTATCACTGTCCCAGCTCTTTCAGCCCTTTCGATCTGTGCAAGGAGCTGAATCTCCACCATCTCATTAACACTGGGAGGCCTATAACAAACTCCAATGATTACCTTTGTAGCATGCACCCCCATGTGCAGTTCCACCCATAATGCTTCAGCCTCATCACACTCTCCCTCAACTAGGACTTCTTTCACACTCACTCTGAGATCACTTCTCACATAGAGACAGACACCACCACCTTTCCTATTTACCCTGTATCTCCGAAAGAGAACATAGCCAGGAATATTAATGGCTCAGTCATGTGAAGAATGAAGCTAAGATTCAGCAATACAAATTAAATCATAGTTCTGTTCATGCACCAAAGCTTCCAACTCACCTAGTTTGCTTGGCAGATTTCTGGCATTGTTGAACAAACACTTGAATACATTGACACCTTGTGCACACGTATTTTGCATATTTTTTATTTTCATACAAATGGTACCAATGCCACTGGTTGTTTGTAACTTGGGGACCTTCTTATCATCTGCCTTAGCCCTCCCCAAATCTCTCCCCATTCCACCCACCAATAAGTACTGACCCCTGTCTGATCTGTCTACCCCATTATAAACTAATTCTCCCTCCCCCTTGATCCTAGTTTAAATACTCCTCCAACCTTCCCATAAATCTCTCACCCAGCACAGCAGACCTCCTTCCTTTTAGGTGCAAACTATCCCTAGCATATAGGCTGCACCCCAATGAAAAGTCGGCCCAGTGCTCTAGAAACCCAAATCCTTCCCTCTTACACCAGGTCTTTAGCCATGCATTGAGTTGTCTAATCTCCCCCTGTCTTTCCTGAGTTGCGCATGGCACAGGTAATATTTCAGAGAATATCAGCTTGGAGGTCCTTCCCTTCAATTTGCAGCCTAGTTCTTTAAATTTATTCTTAAGGAGTCTCCATCTTCCATGTATTCTGTCATTGGTTCCAACATGGACCAAGATAGCTGGCCATGCCCAGCCCCTCCCAGTAATTTATTAACCCAGTCCACCACATGACAAACCCTGGCACCAGGGAGACAGCAAACCATTCGGTTGAGGCGATCCTGGTGCCAAATTATTCTATCAATCCTTCTGATTATAGAACCCCCTACTACCACCGGCTGTCTAGGCCTTCCTGTACTACCCTCACCACACCTCCCAGATGGTCTGCCCTCCAAGCTGTTAGGGATAGCAGTGACATCCAGGGCTGCCACCCCTGAGCTTGCCACCCCCACATCTTCATCCAACTTGGCAAATTTGTTTGGGTGCACAAACCCAGAGCCAATCCTCCTTTTCTGTGTGCCACTACCACTCCCTCTCGTTGGAGTAACCCATCTTCCTACCTGATAATCCTGATTAGCTCCTACGCCTTCCACATCAATCCCATTAGCTACATGCTCAGAGAGCAGAAGACCCCTTTCAAGGTTGACGGTTCTACCCAGTGTTGCAACTTGCTCCTCCAGATCTCTAATGCGAGTTTCCAGAAGGGCAACCCGCTCGCATCTGATGCAGAGGCATCCATCCTGGAGCTGTTGCTCCATTGTTGCATACATGCAGCACACTGTGCACTGCACAAAACCTTTAACCCTGCTAGCACACATTATCCCAGTTACAGTATTAATATCAGTTGTCACTTACAGGTCAGTAGACTCCTGTTATAATCTTCTGTTTTCAACCCCGGTTTTTTAACTCCACTTATCGAATGTCCACTTAGTCAGTGGTCCAGCAAGCAAAATGCAAATAAGCTCAAGAATGAGCAAACTCAGAGTGAGCTCTACAGCAAGTTATATAATATACCTGTATCACCTGTGACCAAATAACTCCACCCCTTAATCAGCAGACTGAAGGAAGACAAGGAAAAGAAGATAAAAATGCTATTTAAAAAGTGACAGAAAAAGTGATTTAAGAAGTAAAAGCTTTTAGCAAGATCCAAGGAAGAAAATAAAACAACTACAAGCACCAGTAATCACCAGCAAATTTCCCACTCTTTTTAGCTATCAGCCAGCAAAAAATGCTAGACAAGATGAGGGTTCATATACAGGTATACTTTAACTTTATGCGAGATTGTATTCTAGCAGAACAGATGGCTGCAAGTAAGGCTGGTAGCTAAAGAAAATAAATGGCATCATATGTTTTGAATTACAGTGTGTGATAAGCATAATAAATAAAAAAGATTTATATGAAATAAGGTGTGCACATAAACACATGGTGAATCATTCTCTGTATATGTAGGTTATACATCTTATATATTCTAATTTTCATTACAATACTGTCCCTTTAACATATAAAGGATTATGTATCCCAAGGCACTTTGACAAACGTTGACGTGAAGTGCAGATAATTCAGATTTTCACTAAGCCTTGATTGAAGAGTTCAGAAACATTTGTGTGATGATTCTCTGTAAAAAGATGAAGTTACATAAATACTTCAATCTTAACCTCTTCGTGCCGACAGTATGCAAATACAGTATGTGGCCTCCCGGCAGCTGGGCCTTGACACCGAGCGACCACATATTTACATACCATTTCTAAACAAACGTGCTGAAAGCGCGCGCCCTGCACATGTGTTGGCATCCCATGGAAAGGTCCTGATCTTTTCTTGCGATCAGGACCTTTCTGACCATGTGACTGCTGTGACAGCCCTAGACCTCGCCCTGCCTCCCGGCGTCAAAAACCCTTTAAGGGGCCGGGAGGTGCCGGCGTGAAGGGGTTAAGCTTACTGTCTTCCAAATACCAGTAAGTGTTTTGTTTGTTTGAGCACATCTCCCCCAAAGTTATGCTTCTATATATTTTATTTTAGCATTTAAGTTCTATATTTGCTTGTTTAAAGTGTACCTAAAACCTAAAACAAAAAAGGATCATATTGCACTTTACTGGTCCTTAGATGAGGTGGCTCATTTATACAAGCGTCACCTTCCAAAGAACGATCACCGGTGTATCGCATTTCAGAGGGTATTCAGAGGGTGGCAACATAAGGCCTACTCCCCACCTCTTTACAGCTAAAAACCCTCACCACTGCACTGCAACCGCATGCATTTGAAGTGGTTATGGGGCTGTTGCTGTGCAGTTCACTTCAGCACTGCCTGCTAAGCAAAAAAACATTATAGTTTGCTATTAAGAAAAATAAAAAATACCAGTACCTGAACGTAATCTGCAGCAGATTTTACATATCCCATTTACTTTAATTCTGTGTTTCTCAAACCAATCACTAACATGTTATGTGTTTCAGCTTCTATAGTTATCCAGAAATGGTGGTGTCAGATGCAGCCTTGTTTAGAAGGAGAAGACTGCAAAGTTCTACCAGACTTGTCAGGTTGGAGTTGTAGTACTGGGAACAAAGTCAAAACGACAAAGGTAAGGCTAAGAAGAACAAATATACCTTATTTATTTGTCAAATTGGAATAGTTAGAGCGATTGTAGCTGTATCGGTATAATTGCTACTTAACTGAATTTGAATGGGTGTTGGAGTGGTGATATGTTTTACTGACTGTGTCGTATTGTGGGTGGGTTCTACCGCATCTGTGTACTAGGGGGTACTTTAGCTAGAGGCATGCTCACCAATGCCTGGGATCAAGTGGGAAATGCTGTCATGTGCACAGTCTAACATCACGACAGACTCCCGGCTTAGAGATGGTCTGGCACTGCATGTAGAATGAACCGGAATTCCTTATAAAGTGTTGATCTACAACCAGTGATTGTAATGTGTTGCATTTGGAGTGGGGAGTAGCACCGAACCACCTCCACCAGCCAGCTTAGCTCTATTACCTCAATCCCAGTAATAGAATGGAATCCCGCCAGACACTTAGTTTAGATCTCATGCGTATCATGTGTTAACTCTTCCTCTTCTGCACCATACAGTTAGTCTGAGGACCTCTGTAATGCTGTGTCTGCTCCCGGTTGCTATGGGAGATGGACCACTGGGGAAGGAGCCAAATAGCGACTCCCTCACTACCAGAGGACACCTCACCTTACTCAGGTACCACACCTCAACTGGTTGCTTAGTGCCTTTTACTGTGTTACGATGGCAGCAACCTTGTTCTTTTTTAGCATGTTGACTTGGCAGTGTAGATTCTTCATACCTCTCTAATGCTATTACAGGCCCAGGTTCTTTTGTATACACCAGCTCCATTATGTCCCCTGTTATGAATAACTTCAGACCAGGCTTACAGACAAAGTTTTAAAAGTCTTTTCTGATTACTTAGTGCAAACATGATACAATGTGTAATAGTTTCTTCACTAGCCCTAACTAGCTAAGAGTCAGTCAAGGCATACCTTATGGGTGACAGTTCATTGAGACGGAGTCCATTGTTGGTGGCATGGTCCATGGCTGGTGGCATCCCAGAATCCTTGATGTTAGTATTCCTTCTCTTTTTTCTGGAACAGCAGCAGCACACCATTGCATATGGGGACTGGAACAATCTCTCTCCAGCTAGGGCAAGAGCTCCGGGACTTCAGCTTTCCCCCAATTTATACCACAGGCAACCTGGCTGAAGCTCCAAAAAGCCTGCACACTGGGAGTAGTCAATTTTAGTTAAACTCTTGGTTTGTTCAGGGTTTGCAGCTTATTGACTTTCACAGAAATGCTAAAGGATGTTTCAGATCTCATCCATAGCAGAGATTTTCAACTGTGTTTAGATTTGTTTTTAAGGGGGTTCAATCTAAACAACCAGGCTGCTGCAGCATGACTGATCTCCATAAGGTTAAGACTTCATCCAACTCTCAGCTGCCCTGTGGATGTTAAAGGGCAGACAGCATATGGGCGTCTGCTTTGAGATTTAGTAGCTATGAAGGGCCTGAAGCGGGGAAAGAAATTGTGCGATGCTGGGACTGATATAGGAAACTAAGATCAGTGCTAATAGTTTGGGAGGCATGAAATGGTATTCCAGCCTTCAAAAGTAGCTTGTTTCATTGTGATATGATATTGATATGCCCAGGGCATGTGTGCGTAACAGTTATTTGTTATATATGGTTTAAAAGCCTGAATAATACCAATGTGTTTTATTCAAAAAGACGTGATGAAGGATGCAATGACATAATATTGTTCTTCCAAAATAATTATGTGGTTAGACAAAATATATAGATAAACAACAAATTAAAGACACACATTTCTGAAAGAGGTTCATAACTCATTCTGGAAATTTGTTAGCATTCATTGAGACTTTAAACTACTCTAAACTTCCCTGTGGAAGTTAAAGGATAAGTTTACCTTTAGTAACATGTTACATGTTACATGTTACACCATCTGTATAAGGTGTATCATGTTCCCACATGGAAGAAAAATATATTTTAAATATATTTTAAAAATATTCTTCCCAAATATATTGACATATATTTGAAATAATACAATTTTGGCCATATTCAATATTTATATATATATATACTGTATATATATATATATATATATATATATATATATATATACACTCTGTATGTTGAAATGCATTTTTAGTACAACATATATGAAAAATATTTTTTAAACTACATTGCAAATATACTGAATGTCTTTAAAAATACAAATCTATTTTTTTTTAAATATATTCTTCAGATATTTTTAACATATAAAAAAGTCATGTTTACATATATTATTACATGTATTTGTAAATGCATTCCAAAAATGTAGATTTGTATTTTTAAAGACATACAGTATATTTGAAATGTATTTTAAAAAATAGGTTTCATATATTTTGTAATAAAAACTCATTTCAACATACAGTATATATATATATATATATATAATATATATATATATATATATATATATATATAAATATATTTTGAAATATATTGAATATGGCCAAAATTTTAGTATTTCAAATATATGTTGATATATTTGAAAAGCATATTTTAAAAATATATTTCAAATATGTTTTTCTTCCATATGGGTTACTATGCAGCACCCTCTACTCACCACCCCAGCCCCCCATAACAGTGGCCAGGGGATCCTCTCACCACACGCATTGTCATATTTTAAAAACGGCACAGCTGTGCAGGGTTCCGCCTGCCTAGCTTCGTCATTTGTTCACAGTGATCTGTGAATGAATGAACTACAATTTCTGTCTTCCACCTTGGCAGATGGCATGTAGTTGTAGTCAATGAACTACCAGCGCTCTAATCAGTGCCCTTGTAATTCACTGACACTTCCCGCATCTGATGACCTGTCTGCCCATATGATAGTGTGGGTAGAGAGTTGTCAGCAGCATCTGCAGGAGCCTGTTATTGCACCCAGGATTCACTAATCACAGGTGCAAGGCTTTGCAGATTCCAAACAAATAAATAAATTTAAATGTTTTTTACCTGCAAAATCATGTGCATTTATTATTTTTATACTAAAGGTGAACTTAGCATTTACAGTGCAGCATGTGGGATACTACAGGGAGTTTAAAAGCAGTAAAAGAGGCAAGGGCAAGAAGAACATAAGATGACGCTGGGATCTGTGTAGGAAACTAGGATCAATGCAAATTGTTGGCAAGACACCAAATGCTACTTAAACCATTCAAATATAATTTAGTGGGTGTGGTAACTGTAGCACTTAATTAAATCAAGAAAATGATGGTACTCCAAGAACACTAGATGATCAGTAACGTGTTTAGGGAATAGGAATTTACTTTTAACTGATATATATTTTTTCAAAAATTGAGACCTGTAAATTAAGAAAATTAATCATAGGAAAGTGTAAAAATATTTGACTCGAATGTGGACATATTTTGTTAAAGCTATTCAGCTTGTAACCAGTTATGCTCTGCTGGCCCAATATCCATACCTACTCCTACTAGCCCGACTGGCAGATGTATACAAAGTAGAACAATATCTGTCTGCATACAGTACCTCTGCTATATATAGGGATGAGCAAACCAGGCAGGGCTCAGTTAGTGGGGGTGGTCTGGTTAAAATACCATTCAGCAGTGTGAGGGGGATTTCATGTGGCTTAAAGGGCAATGCAAAAAAATATACAAATCTTTTAAATAACATGCTTGGGGGATACCTTAAGTCTGCAAATGAAGCTGCAGAACAGTGACTTCTCTTCCCTTGCCACCATAAGGATCTGGTTTAAATGTTAAGAACCCCACAACATTTTTTCCTCTCTCCTTTTTTTAAAGGAACAGCACACATTAAAAAGTGGGGTGAAAGGGGCATGGCTTCCCCTTAAAATTCAAACTAGACCCTTATCCAAACATGAAGTAACTGCACTGTATCCTCATATTGAGGTAAAAAGGCTTCTTCCCCCACATCATGTCCCTCAAATAGGATGTGGGGTTGTGTGAGGGAAGGTATAGGAATCAGGAATAAGTAAAAAGCAAAATATCACCCAGGCACCATGAAAAAACTGTGTCCTCTGGTGTAAATTTATCACCAATCACATTATATCAGATCATCAATCACTACAACCCATTGCCTAGTGATGTTTCTCTGCCCAATGACACTTACCCATCACATACAAATCACAGTAATAGAGTCCTCAGGGCTGCAGGGGATGTTTGATTATGTAACTGTCTCAAATTTGGCCATGGCCATATTTGGTCATTGACATCACCAGGGATCCCTGTCGGTTTGCTTACATTCTAGAAGCTAGTGATTTGGATGGGTACATTGACCAATTATGGCCAGTTTGGTGGTTTTCAGAACTGCCAACAGGCTGGGTTCAGATCTTTCTCATGTTCAACTTGAATCCCATCCCTTGTGTTATGGTGATGTTCCTTTTTATACATCCATACTATGTTTTGGTTATTCCGTGTATTAATATGATGTGTTTCCAAATTGTAATTGTAATGTCTACCTTAATTTTGTAAAGCACTGTGCAAACTGTTGGCGCTATATAAATTCTGTATAAGAACAATAAGAAATATGGATTGGATTGGGGTGATTGACAACTATGGAAAGTCCAATATGCTTAAAAAAACAATAATGTTGTATGGGTAGTGAAGGTTAGTAACGAATGTTTCTGATTGGCAAGTACTGTATATTTAAAAGGTTAAATTTCAAAGAGCTGTAGAAGGTTTGTGCAGAAGGCTATGTTGTATGGAGATCAGCAAATGTGTTCAATGAGAATAGTCAAATACTATATTTTTATTATATTGTTTAAAAATACCCATTTTTCATTTGTGCATATATATCCCATTTTAACATTTTTCAGTCTTTGCATTCTCCAAAAAGACTGAACTGGAAAAAAAAATTATGTAAAGCGCAGTTTACAGGTTTATAAAAACAAACGTTTTCCAACATTTCCAATTTTTTTTTTCTTTGTTATGCCCTAAAATCGTAAATGAAAAGTCTTTAAAAAATGTTGATACACACCTCTACTTTACAAATAAGATTTCAATATTTAAAT